CAGAGTTTGGAGGATATGTTGGTTGCTCTTAGAGCTGACATTAGTACCCTTCATCTGAATGTGATGGCTGCCATTCGAGCTGACATTTCTGGCCTCTGTACGGAGATCTTGACTGCCATTGATGACTTAGCTAGGGAGATCCGTGGAGCTCCCTCTGCCTGAGACTTCCAGTCTCTTTATCTTTTTATGCTCGCTAGCTATGTTCTATGTCTGCTACACTTGTGATACTATTATTTTTGCAGCCGGGTTTGTCGACTTTGACAATCGATGTATTTCACTTTATTGTTGTTCTTATCTATGATGGATGTTGTATGTTTTTATTGATACATCTGTCCTTTTAACTCCATCAGGTGCATCACAGTGACTTCAGTGAGAGAGTGCTACCTAATTTTCAGGACCACCCTTATACCTCTCTCATTTCATTTTTTGTTTATCCTATTTACACTTGCATATCCACTGTACACTGATTATCCCATTTTGTTATCTGATAAGTTTATCCAAGTGCCAATTTTCAGGACCACAGTTCATCCCAAGTTTAGGGGGGCCATGCCACCCACTTCAGATACTTCAGTCCCGATCATTCTTGCTTAGTTGCACTGGTATACTCTTTCCTTTGTTCTCTTTGCACATTGAGGACATTGTGCAATTTAAGTTTGGGGGGAATGGTGCTCTATAGTGATAATTTTAAATTCAAACTTTTAGCATGACTCGTGTATTTGAGGGATATTTCTATGATTGGTCCATACCTAGCTATGATTTTGATCTTCTGAGGACTATATTGCTTAAAATTTAAAAATTGCTTGACTTGAGAGTCCAATACTCCTTGTATGCCTTATGAATGCCATTTAGGAGTAAATTTTTTGAAAGATTGATATCTTGCTTGCACTTATGGTCCATATCATCTTGATTTTGTGATTGTTTTGAGATTCACTCTAGTCTTCTACACTAGCACAGGCGCACACTAGCATTCATTTGTGGGGTACATACTTTGTTAATTATTGAATATCCCAATTGAGCTAGTAGTGCATTGAAAACTTTCATTCTTGATAAAGGTGGATAACAACCCCTTTTCACTAAGTAGCTGGGATTCTAGCCTCATCAAGCACTGAACTTCTCGCGCCGAAAGGTGGAGGGCCCAAACTCTAGGTTAATAATTGAACTTGTTTAATTAAAAATAAATAAATAAATAAATAAAAAGCAAAAGCAAAAGTAATAAAAAGTGAGGACTTCTCTCAAAAATTGAGAAGTATGAAATGATTAGATGATTGTTGTCTTGATTTGTAGCCTAGTTGATTTGAGCTTGTAAGTCCGTAGGGGTGTTTGAATACCTAGTGCCCTAAAGTCGTCTGGTATGGGAGTCATTGACCTAACGCTCGACCTCATGAATCGCTAGAAAGCTTAATAGATCAATACATTGCACTATGCTTCCATCTTTAATCCTCTAAAAAAAATAATAATAATAAAAAATATATATATATATGAGTGAAAAGAATAAGCACACCTAGAACAATAAAGCTTTAATAAAAGGTCCACTTTTTGTCTTAATGATCGGTACTAGATTTGTATGCTAGTTTGAGGGTAAGGATGCGATTAATTCTTTAGTTGGCTAAGATAGCAACACATTGATGCCAGTCCACTCAAAAGAATTCTAGAGTTGTTTTGATTTGCATGATCATTTTCTTGGTGTGTGGAGGACCATACTTGCTTGCTTGATGTTAAAATTTTGGGAGATTGATTGGAAAGGGTTGAAAAATTGCATACTTGAGGTAGTTTTCTCCCAATGCTTGTTTGCAATATTAGTACCTCTTTTGAAAAAATGAGCTTAATGTTTGTGGGTACCATTTCTGGAAACCCTCACGAGACTTCACTCGTCCACTAGGGGTAACCTAGGGGTTTAACAGGCTTGTTGCATATACTAAATGCAATCGTGTTCCCTACGAAAGTGGCGTTACCTATTTATTGTTTTCTAGTTTATAGTTATATAGTTGTTTAATTCATTCCTTTACTCTCTAGTTCATTGCTAGGGACTAGCAATATTTAAGTTTGGGGGTGTGATGAGCACTGAAAAGTGAGTATTTAAACCCCTTAAGCTTAGGCATTCTAGTACCTTTATCTATCTTACTTTACCATTTTAGATTGATTTCGTATTATTTCCATTTTCAGGTACTTATCTCGAAAATAAGCTAACTCAGCCAAATAAGAGCTTAATTGAAGCAATTCTGGGATTAGTCAAAGAAAAGAGCAAAGTGGAGAAAGAAAGAAGCAAAATGAAGCAAAACAGCAAGTTCGATCGATCCAAGTCCAAGGTTCGATCGTTCGAACATTGATCGATCTCAGCACTTCAAGATAGATCCAAGCCTTGACCCAAAGCACTTAAGTCCAAAAGTTCGATCGATCCAACATCATTCTTCGATCGATCGAACACCTTTGTCCTTATCCAAATGATTGATCCTATCAACGGTTGTACCACCCACCAACTACTTTTGTCCTTTTCCCATAAATATCTCCCATAAATATCTCGGATTTGTCTTTTTCCAAAAAGCTCAGCCAGTTGGATCGATCCAGCCTAAGTTCGATCGATCTCACTTACTTTTGATCGATCTCACTTACTTTTGATTGATCGAACTTCCTCCAGTGCGAAAAAGTTAAAATTCCATCTCATTGAAAGTTGTCCTTGATCCAATCATTAGGGACTATTGTGTGCACGACCCTAGCTCATTTTGGGTGTCATTTTGACATACCTATATAAGGATAAGGATTGCTTTTTCAAGGAAAGCCAACATTATTTTTGATATCATCTCTTGGAGAGGAAGTTTAGAGGAAGAAGAAGGCTAGAGACACCATTAGAGATCTTCATCAACAAGGAGCAAACCTCTTCCATGGAGTTAGCCCTTGAGGGTTGGAGCATCCTCACCATGAGTGGCTAGACATCCTCTTGGGGCTAGAGTTAGCCCCAAGCATGCCTTCTATATCTTAATCTTGTGTATTATTGAGGGATTAGTGTTGTAATTAATGTTTTGATACTTTGATATATATAGATCTTGTGTAATCAATGATTTATGTGGTTTAATTCTTCCAATTGATCATTTCATTCTATCCATATGTCTATGTATGTTAGAATAGATGTTCATGTGCTTATTTCTAGATTTTGTGTTGTTGATTCATGTCTATGTGTATTGATGCCCTAAATTTAGAGGTTGTCAAAACATAGTGCTTAAAGGAATGTTTTTGTGATTCTCTAGATGGTTCATGCTCATATCTTGATGGATTGTGTCTCCTTCTTAGCTAAATTAGTTTAATTTCAATGGCTTAATTGTAGTTTAGTGATAGTATAATATTAAATAGGAAGACAGTCCATGCTAGTTGTTTGATGCTCCATACTTTTGAATGCAAGTAGCATATGTCTCTAATCTTGTGTTGTATTTAGATTGTGAGCCTAATGAAAATGACCAATGATTTGCTAGATATGTTGTGCTTTTCACATGCTATTTAGACAATATATACTTAATTGCGAGATATATTGTGCTTTTCACATGTTGGTTAGACAATGTATACTTAATTAGTCATCCTTACTTGTTGAATCAACCAAATACACACACACCAATATTGCAACACCCTAATTGCCCTCATTAATCACTTGTCAATAATATAGAAATGCATTGCTTGGTGGTGATCTCTAAACCCCAAGACTCTTCTCTCTCTCTTACTTAATCTCCATTGCATTCAATTACTTAGTGTAATTTTGTTGCTCTTTAATCAACCTACCAACCAATTGTTTAATCACTCGACCTACTAATCCTAATAGCGATTCCACAATCAACTCCGACTCCAATCTCTTGGGACGATCCCTACTCGCCCTAGCTATATTTATAGTGAAAAGTAGTAGTGGCTTTTACAAATGTAAAACTTGGCCCCCGCCTTAATGCACATTCTTACGCTTATGGTAGGATGACGGCCAACATCTCATTTTTCTCACTTTTTTTTCTATGTTTATCCCTCTTACTACTCTCCAAAAATTAATTAATCACAGATTTTCTAATTAGCTTCATAGCACTTCCGGTGTGTTCATTTTATGCCTCGATTAATCGAAAAAGATTTTTTTTCTTTTGTTTATGCGCGTGTTAAGTTTACTTGTAAGTGTGTTAAGTCTGCCTGTAATATAACTTTTTTTTTTGTTTTTTTGTTGATACATCATAAAAAATTACGTTTTGGTATAAAATTAATTAATTAATAAGAGAAAACAAGTTAAAAATGTTGGAAAAATAATTTGCAAGAGTGTGGTCAAGTACAAAAAGATTGTTAGTATTCCATAGTGAAAATTGATGAATTTTGGGTTACATTGAATATATAATTTTGTGTTAAAAGAATGATATTAAAAATTCAAATTGATGTAATTTTGTGTTACCACAAACACCTTTTTTAACAAAGATTGATTGTAAGGTGTTTGTGTTATTGCATATTTCAGAAACGTGTGATCCTGTATTTTGGAATATTGATCGATATGGATCATATAAGTAGTCTAGTATGAATAAAACTTTTATTCTTCTATGATAATGGTTTAAAAAGAAAATCAGATAAAGATCTAAAATTAATTAATAGAGTCCATAGTCTCAGAACAGAAGTATTTCAATAGCATTCAATTCAAAGAATGGAAGGGTAGTTATATAAATGCTACTTCAAGAATATTGAACAAGTTCGTAATTACTCTACTTTTTTTCCAAAGTTAAAACAAACGCACGTATACACCACAATATTTTATTTGGGATATAGTTTTTGCATCAAAATTTTCAACCTCTCTTTGGGTAAGAGAAATCATACTATTTGAGCTAATGTTCATAAATAATATTGAATAAGTTTTTGAATAGTGTGCTTTGTATATATGTGCACAGATTTTTTATTAGGTCAAAATTGATCCATATGCGTATATAGACAGGAAGTACTTTGAATCTGCTTTGCTACCTCAATCTGGCAAAAGTGACCATTCAAAAGCTAAAAAGATCATGTTAGAGATGTTTGGGATTTTTGCTGCGGACGGTAAGTAAATCCACAATTACAAAATATTTATTGATATATATTATCTCATATTGTTTCTTCTCGAGGATAGGAGCCTTCTTTGTAGTAGAAGGAAACATAGCTAGAGCTATATGAAGTCTATATGACTTGTGGTTACAGTTGTCATATATAATGGGCTGATAAAATTATTCCATGATGTTCTCTTTCAATCTTCTTTCTGTCATTCATTTCTTATACCCCATCCCTCTCAATTTAAGTGTCAGTTACTAAATTAGCCTTTTAAGTTTCGAATATTCAAGTTTAAAATTTTAAACTCAAGACACATACGATGTGAAATATATTGTTTGAAAAATAAAAGTATGCCACCTATTTTGGGACAGACAAAAAAAAAAAAAAAAAAAAGTATAACACTTGTTTTGGGACAGAGAGAGCACTAAAATTCTTTGGCATATTTTTATCTAGACCAATTTAACCATTTGATGCACCACTTTAGTTGCAATCAACCTAGTAATTTGCTGGGAGAGTACTTTGATTTTTCAAGAAATACTTTCGTTTGTCATTCAGGTTTTCTAGAATTTTTGGAAAATACTTTTGTTTGTCGTAAAGCTTTTTTCAGTGTACTTCAAATTCTATATTTTTCTCAAATACAATTTTTATTTTTTTATTTTTAATTAAATTCAATGTCTTTGCAATTCCAATTCCAATTCTATATTTTTCTCAAATATAACTTTTTTTTATTAGTTTTTGGTATAATTCAATTAAGTAATGAAATATACATACACACACTTTGCTTGTAGATATTTTTATTTTATTTTATTTTTGGAAGTTTATACTGCTTTTAGTTATAAAATGAGTGGGGTTTAAGAATGTGCATAAATGCATTATGTGATATTCTAATCTTATATAATTTGAAAATTTAATTTTATTAAATTATACTTCTGCATTTACCATATATATTTATATAGGTTATTAAGAAAAAATGGAAAAAGATAGCAAATTTTTATTTATTTTTAGATAAACATAGTTGATTATTTGAATTATAATATTTATTAATTTATGATGAAATTATGATGTCATAGTTATTGATTAATTATATATAATTAGTGTATTTCTTTCATGGTTATTGATAGTTTCAATTTGTATAAATTAAAATTTTATTTTATTATTTCTAACAGTTTCTTATTATTTTTTATATTGTTATACATAATAAATAAATAATGTGTATACATAGTCGAATTTTTGGTCCCGAATTTTTAAACCATACAATATGTTATACAAGTACGTACATATCCGTATTCGAATTCAAATTTTTACTTCTTTTATAACGTATCCGTTTTTTTGCTGTACCATATTTTACTAACTACTATGAGATTAAAAATTTTCATCTAACATAATTGGTAAGTTAATTTTAATTTTATTTATTTTTATTTCTGCTGTACATTATTTTATATATACAATACAATGAGTTATGATGGTTTTACAGATTTGTCTGTCTTCATTATGTGGCAGAAACGAAAAGAACATTACGTGATGTCCAACCATCACATTACATTTCCAAGATAGAGTCTTTCTCTATGCTCTTAGAAACAAAAACTGAAAATTATGAATCAAATGTTTTTGAAGCTAGCGGCTATAAATGGTGTGTTTTCGAATTTTGTTCTGCCATACTCTTTAGTTTATACATGTTCTCTGCATCGAAACAAAATTAGTCACATGTTTTTTGGGATTTCAGGAAATTGTCTTTTTGTCCAAATGGGAATCAGAAAAGAAATGGGAAAGATCACATTTCATTATACCTGGTAATATCGGATACAGATAATCTTCCTTGCGGTTGGGAGGTCAATGTGAACTTTAAATTATTCGTCTTTGATCATATACGTGACAAGTACTTATCTGTGGAAGGTAGTTTCTCTATTTTCATTAAATTTTTTGAAATATGCTGTAGCAACAAAATATTTATATAGATAGATATTTGTATATAATTAATGTAGATATTGAACCAATGAGGCGCTTCCATGGGATGAAGACAGAATGGGGTTTTGAGAAATTTCTTTCTCTCGAAAAGTTCCAAAATCCTTCAAACGGGTACCTCATCAATGACACGTGTGTATTTGGAGCAGAGGTTTTTGTTATGAAAAATGCGGGAATAGGTGAGTGTCTGTCCATGACAAAGTTACTAAGTGACAAAATTTACACTTGGAAGGTTGGCAAATTTTCAGCATCAGGCCAAGAATGTCTATGCTCCGAGGAGTTTGAGATTGGAGGGCAGGACTGGTATGATCAACATTTTCATGTTTTCTTTAAACGATGTTCTCAATTTGAAAGTGGCTTCTTTGATTTCTAAGGTAAGCTATTATTTGTTTCTTTTTATAATGAATTCAGGAAGCTTTCTGTCTATCCCAAAGGAAATGGAGAGGCAAAAGCCAAAAGCCTCTCTGTGTATCTTTTTGTAGTTGATTCTGAAGAACTAACTCTTAAACCCAGAATGTATGCAAAATACAAGCTGAGAATAAGGGACCAAGTCAATGGTAAACACCTCGGAAAGGAAGGTAAGTACGGTATTAGGCACCACAAGACGGCTGTACAAGCTGCTTTTGATGAATCTCTTCTTCTTTTCTTCTTCTTCTTCTGGGGTGATTTTATATTTTGTTAATTTTCCTACAAAATTCATGTTTGCAGTTAGTGTCTGGTTCGACGCCAACACAAGGAACTGGGGATACCCAAGCTTCATTTCGCTACATGATCTCTATTGCAAATCAAAGGGATTTATAGTGGAAGATACTATAATTATTGAAGCAGAAATTTCGATCTTGTCTGTGACTAAGAACTTCACTTAAAATGTGTCAAGATCGACAAGCAGAGGTGGATGAAGGAATTACGCAAGTGTTGAGTCTTCTTTCAGTACTCATTATAACTAGCACTGCAGCGGATTTTAATTCATTTCTTTTTTCTTTTTTCTTTTTTGAAAGGTATTTTAATTGATTTCTTGTTGATATTTAAGCATAAGTTTCTGATTTCTTGTCACATTTAAGATTTTGTTTCTCTGTGTTAAAACACAATCTCAATATATTTGATTTTTATATTATTGGTACATGATGTGGAATTCTAAACATAGGTCAATACTGATCCAACTTGTGGAACTCCTCCGATGGTAAATTTAATAAATGATAGATATAGAACTGACTTTTTATCCTTTGGTTATGGGGGATACTGGAAAAAAGAGAGTAGAAAATCAGTGGACTGGAGCAAGACAACACTTCGAAAATGTTTGTATAGTGTAATTAGCTATTAGGGGAGGGGTGTGATGAGCAAAGTGAGTCTCTAAGTTTTGAGTTCTCAGACAGAGAAATTATTAATTGCAACCGGGTGCAATGGATGCATGGGAGCCGTTGAATTAGGTGGGGCTATATCCAAATCATGTTATACGCATCCTTTACCAATTTCATCATAAAACAATATTTATAATTTTCTTATTTTAAACATGCTTCAATATAATCATTCTAACATACAAATTGGCACATTTAGATCATATAAGGCATGCATGCTAGCAATTTCTCCACGTAGATAACATGTAAAGTACATGATTTAACATCAAATATACAAGGCAAAGACTTAAACTTTTATATAGTTGAGAAATTCCTTAAAAACATGGTATCTATTGCAAGCCATATCACACAATCATCACTTAAGGACTCACAAACAAACCGAAGACTTCATGAATTAGACACCTCTACCTCAAATTAGGATGAAAATCCTAATCCTACCGAAACCAAAATGCCTTCCTCGTGAAACCAACTTGTAGGAAGAAAGAGGAGGCGAAGGCGAGCAAATAATCATTCTATGGCGCCTCTAAAATTCGAACTCCATCTTCACCCAAAATCTCCAAAATGCTCCAAATCAAAATTCAAGACCATAGGCGCTCATCAACCTTCCCTTCTACGGCATCGCCAAAAACTCACCCGAGCTAGATGTAATGCATGCCTGAAGCATGTAAAAAGGAAAACGAGACTCGTCAACCTTCCCCTTCCCTTTGACGACGTCACCAAAATCTCACCCGAGCTAGATGCAATCAATGAAAAAAAAAAAAAAAAGAATAAGGGGGAGAAAGAGAGGCCACGGCTGGTGAAGAGAGGAAATGAAATGATTTGTGGCTGAAAATGAGCTTAGTCCTTTCCTTATATACTAAAGTCAACCCATAGGTCCCGCCTCCCACTTAAACGTTTAAAACAGCCCCTATAAGTCCCGAATACTCGCAAATGATACAACTCAATGCAAAATGGATAATACTTATGTAAATGAAGAGCATAGTGGTATCGAGAAATTTCCAGAACACGAAAATCTATCACGGGGCCTACCTGACACATCCTGGACACGAAAATCGAAACCGACCGAAATGAACCCAAATGAATTTCTAAGGGTTCTAAATCCGAAAAACGTCCCAAAAAACTCTCGGAACACCATTGCACGTATTCCTGTGCACAAATAAAAAAATGGTCGAGGAATACCAAAAAATCCGAGATGTCACAATGATGTTATTATTGAATTTTAGTGTCTCTGTTCTTTCCTTTGTGTTGTTGTTGCAAGGAAAAAAAAAAAGGTTTAATTACACTTAATCCCTAATACTAACATTTTGTGGCATTTAACAATGTTTTGGCACATTATCATTTACCCCTCGTTTTATTAATTGTTGCGAACGAAAAACACCCATATAGAGTATAAAACCCCCTATACATTCTAAAAAGTCTATAGAATTTAATTTTGGATAATACAAGGACCTGAATGGTAAAAAACCAAAGTGTCCCTCTATAACTGAATAAAAAATTAGGTAAAAAACTAATTAAATGTGAGATGACTAAATTGTCCCTTTTATTTTCTTTTTTTGGGTTTCTTCATCATCATCACTGCCACCAGTAATGGAACAGTGGCAACGACTTGATATGTCCATAGTCGGTTCAGTGTGTGTGTGTCTATATATATATATATATATATATATATATATAAGGGCATTATTAGAAGAGAGAAGGGTATTTTCGAAATTTTATATCTTAACGACTTAAAACCCTTCTTTTCTCATTTTTTCAAACTTAGCAGACTTATATACACAACATAAAGGATAGGGGTTTTATTAGTCCAAAATGTAAACATTAGGGGTGTTTTTCCCACTTTATCCTTTGTTAACTTTGCTAAAATGTTACATTATATGCTATACTCGTCCGCAAAATTTTAGGTTGTTTTGCAATTTTACAATTGATACATTGTCCTCTATCAAAACATTTGTTAGCATTACGAGTGCAACTCGGGCTGATTGGGTTAGTTTGAAGTACAACTCAAATTCAACTCAACATATGAACTGTTCTACCTAACTTGACCTTTAATCCAAACTAACCAACTCAAGTCCAATCCATTGTTAATTAGTTTAGTTTAGGATCAATTCGGTCTTACAACTCAGAAATTTCGGGTTAAATTTTGGATTGCTAGACTGACCTTTTTTTATATAAACATATAGGATTATTACATATAAATGGGGTTAGGGCACTATATTTACTTAGAGGTTGAGTCAAAGTCCCAAAGTTTCTCTAAAATGTGTTTGACCCAAAAGCTGAGGTGACACATGGAAAAATACTGTTTCATATTTCTGTTGCCTAATATACCTTTCTTCCTATTTTATGTGTTACCTAAAATACCCTTTTGTACGCTTACCTCTTTTCAAGCCCTAATTCTTCTTTTCACATTCCATTCATGCTGGCCTATCTCTCCCCCCTTCTCTGTAAACAGCAGCGATCAACAAACCCCTCTCTCTCTCTGCCCTAACCCTCACTGAATTCTCTCTCTCATTCGTGCAAGAGCCATTTCTCTCTCATCGTTGCTCTCTCTCTTTCTCAACAACTCTTTCTAAGCCAGTCCTTCCACCCTCTCGCTCTCTCTAGCTTCATCGCTCTAGGAATTGAGAAACCCAACTTTTCTTTTCAGTGCAGCAACACTGGGCTCGAAAGTGGGATCAAGGGTTCTCGGTGAGCTTCAAAACCCTACATTTGTCAGTGCATTTTCATTGTTTCAATTGAATTTTTCTTTTTCTCTTTTTTTGGCAGTAATTTTCTACTGAGTTATGATGATTCGGTGTTTCTTAAGCTTTTTTGTTGTAATGGTTCTTGAATTTGTGTTTTCTAAAATTAGGGTATTCTTAGGTGGCTGGGTTATACCCAGATTATTATGAGAGGTTGTTTGTACTCTTGGGCTACAGGAGTTCTTTGTTTGCTTCCTCTCAGTTGTTATTGAAAGTTTTGGTTGCATTTTTTAAGCTTCTTGTTGTATATCCTTTATTTTTAGATAGTATAACGCATTCTTACCTGCTGAATTTTTTTTTATAGAACATTAATCTGATCTTAAAACTTAAACATTGTACTGTTAATGCCTGCCTGTGTATAGTAGAGATTCAATGTCCCTAAATCCAAATAATTCATGTTCTTTAAATTTACTAGGACCATGTGGAAGCAAGTGGGAGTATGTTTGGTGCCTACAGGCTTTTTGTTGGATTTCACTAGTTAGCTAACTGGATTGTGCCAAGGTAACAAGCTTAAATCCTGTCTTCATAAGTCATTTGCTCTGGAAACCTTATGATACAATCAATAAATGTAAACTGTCAAGAGGCATGCATGTGATAATCTTTGGGTAGGGACACTTGTTATCAAATGTTTGTGAAATCTACATTCCCATTTGCATTTGCTTGATAAAAGAATTGTTTAAGATTACTAGTATTGGTTCTACAATATTAAATTAAAAATAGGTTTTTTATACATACTATATTTGTTGTGGTTTAATGGTTGAAATGTAATTACATATAAAATTTGAGCTTGGTTCTATTAAATGAAAATGCTTTATAATAATTTCATGATTAATATCTTAGGTGTTAAGAATCACTAATAAAGATTTTAGTTCTCAATATAAAACAAAAGGGAAGAAGCTACTCTGTTGGATTTTTGGACTGTGACTCAGAGATGAAGTAACAAATCTTCATGGTTATGCTATGATTTGTGCCTTAGCTTACAAGGTTGGAACTCCTTGGTAAATCTTTTCACTAGGGAAACATAGCATTTTAGAGCATGTCAGTGATGGCCTTGGTGTCTGATAATTACCAACATTTGAATAAATTAGATAAACAATTCTTTTTAGTAGACTGATTAAATATGTTAACATTTTTAAACGATTAAAAAATTTAGTCTAAGATATTGCCATGCAATGACTAGAAATGGAAAAGATTTCTTCACCATCTGTTCATGAAATTTGAATGGGTTTAAACAGAAAATTTCTAGATATACTCATAAGTTCTCCCCCCCCCCCCCCCCCCCCCTAACCAGTTAAGAGTGCAAGCTGTTTTATACCTAAGCCCAAATTCAGTTGAAAATACAAGACATGAAAAATAATGGGAAAACTGTTATATGACCTTTACGTCTAAATTTTATTTACGGGAAAAGAAAGAGAGAATGAAAGAAGGAAGTAAATTTCGATCAAAATTCTGTCCAAGACTGATGCTTTAGAAGTTATTTAGTTTCTAACGAGATGGAAAAGAGAAAATATAAAGCAGTAGGTAGTTATCTAAACACTAGTTATATAAATAATAATAAATAAATAAATTAAGTACTTATTTAGTTTTATCAAAAGGGATGCAGAAAAACCCAAAAAGATAAACATATGGTCATAAAACAAGACATAGCATTGGTAATACTAATACCTCTTCGGGCGTTGATTCTCTTCTCGAATAGCCGAATTGGGTCATATCCCTCCAAACACGCCGCATAAATAATTATCCTGACTTTGAAATTCAAGCAATTTTCAACCC